TTCAGAGTCAAAATCAGGAGTACTCAGAGTATCATGATGAACCGGGTTGCCCTGGATCAGGATGCTCATATGCCTAAGAAAGAAGGCTCTATGAAGTGAGAGCGCCTGATGCTGCAAAAAGTAACAGAAGCACAGTACTTCCTCCTCTCCTAGTCACTTTGTAGCATGGAATCTATTTCTGAATCAAAACAATAACGGATTGCAGCAACATGCTGCGTAAGCCCAGACTGAAATGAGCATGCCTGTGGCTGTTAATATTTACCTCTGTTATGATAAAAAATTGCACCTCCTTGTGTAGACACTTGTGCTTGTAGGAAACCAAGATCCCTTTCAGTCCTCTGGAGAGGTGTGGAGGTGCTGGGTGTGGTGCTGTGCAGTGTGAGCAACAGCTGAAGTGGGCCGAAAGAATTGCATCAATTAGTGTTAAGTTTTATTAGATATAACTTAAAGACACTGGTAGAATTGACATTTACACATCATCATGGCCTTTTTCAATCACAGAAATCATGAACATCAACATATTAAGTGTTAAATTAACTTCCATTCCTAAGAGCATACATTTCTAAAAACATGGATTGTTTTAACATGTGTAGCTGCATGTTACATTCACATAATAAATTTCAAATAAAAAAATAAAACAAATATGTTAATACAAGGTGGATATTTACAGACAATGGAGTTCTCCACTGCCCAAAGAACCTCCAAGGGCCCCTGGGCCATTCAAGTCATTACTTCCCTGTCCCAGAGGTATGTGTGCCTGGTACTGATCCTTGGCAAGAGGGAACTTCTCACACAGTTTCCAGCAGCAAGAATCATGTTTTGCTGTTCAATTGCTATGAACTGGTCTACTGCTGGATTCTGTAGAAACCAAAGCACAGAAACAAAGTGTAATACCAGAGGCAATACCCAGAGCTCCTGCTCCTCTATCCCAGGTGCCTGATTTGTTTTTGAAGTTACAAGTACAGTACCAAGCTGACACTGTTCATCTCTGCTATCTCCTGGCTACCTGGTTGTGATGGCTGTGTGAAGAACGGGATTTTGTTTCCACTTTTTGCTTTCATTCCTATTGATCTCTAGCTACCTCTGTGGTATAGGAATGCATCACAGTCTTCCCTCGGCTTTACCTTACACTTTCCATGAGCAGCGGGGTGGCTTTGGCTCCGTTTCACCCACTGAGAATGGATACAAAAGGACAAACAGAGGCAGCATCAGGCAGAAACCAGCACTGAACCCCCATCTCAAAGCCCAGTCTAGGCTTTGTACAGGCAAGGCCACCTCTACCATGTCTTTGCAGGCCAAAGAACTGTAATGCAACCTGGACAGTAATTAAAAGCCAATAAACATTTCTAGAATTTTCTGATGAAGAAAAAGATGGCGTGTTAGGCTCCATTTCTATGGCTGATTTTTACAAGTTCAATGTAGGCTACATCTACTCTGGGTGTCTACATGCTGAGGAGCTAGATTCTGACTCACTAGTGTCAATTTGTTAGCAGTGTTGCTGCTACAGCCTCAGCCTGTATCTAAGGTCATGAGCCTTAGATAAAAGGCAAATAAGCTGGAAGCAGCACCACATTAATGCAGCTTTACTGCTTTCAGACCCAAGGATGTCACAGGGATGTAGCAGGTCAAATCAACATGTAGAAACCAGCCCAGTCAGTGACTGTCCTTCATATCCCACCTTTTGACAGTAATCTGACATAAAATGTATTCATTCTCTTATTCATTTTCTGCATCTATTATACCTGCATGAATGCAGGATTTTCATAGGAACCAGGTAGTTTAGGGTGAGGTATGCTGAGTAAAGGCTACCTTTTGGCTATAGGAGCAGCAATTATCTGAAGGAATGCTTGGGTCACTGAGACTTGTCCTCAGTGAGAATTGTACCAATGAACTCAGGGGGAGTATTACACAGAAACATAAAAGCAGAAGAGTCTCATTCCTCCCCTCGGGGCCAAGTTGCTTGCTGTGGGTTGGTGTTAGACACCATATAGCTTCTTTCTATTGTTCTTTGATAACTCTGTTCAAATGATGTTATCAGGGAAAAGTAAATCACCCTTAGGTATTTGCTAAAATGCTTCGGAGATTTTTGTTTCCTTTCCAGTGTGCTCCCTCCGCTACAGTGATCAGCAGCATGATTAACACAGAGACCTTTGCTCAAGCAGTAGTCTAAATCAGAATTTTAAGTTTGCATGCATGGGTCAGGAGCACCCATCAGCTGACAGGAGCAGCACCATGGGGCCCCCTGCCCAAATGAACTCCAGTAAGCCAGGCTCAGACAGAAAGCCCTGCAACAGGACTCGGCACCTTCATGCTGAGTAAAATTCAGGAACCCATAGGCAAAGAAAAGGATTCATTCAGGTAAATTGTTCATTGAGCTATTCACTTACATCTATAATTCATTTGCTATGAGACAAGGGGCTGGTCACCCCTTTACAAAAGGCTGGCAAAGGTTCAAGCATCAGTTTGTTCCTGATGAAACCCTACTTTGAGGTCGCACCAAAGATCTGACGCTTGTTCTGGTGTTCTGCAGGAGAAGTTCTCACGTGCTGTGATATGAAAATGTGGAAAGGAAATCTCAAACAGGTGGAAAGCTTCTTCTCTATCTTCAGAGAAGAAAGTCTGATTTAGTATTTGCTGACATGACAAATGTACTTCTTATTGCTGCTGACTCCATAGCATTGAAATACACAAGTAATAGCATTCAGTAGTGCTAGAAAACAGGAAGGTCTTCCTCTGCTTGTTTTACAGCTGCTTTGAATGACATGGCATCCTCTGGCCACAATGTCTGTTCCCTACATGCTGTTCACCCCCCACACCACACATACCAGGGTCTCTCATCATATATTCATACTAAGCCCAGGCATTTTCTACACTGCCACAAGCACCAATAAAAACTCCTGTAACAGGAGTATTTTCTCCAATGCTACCTTATAGAGTAGGGCAAGAGGAGTTTAATAGAAAAGAAATGCCTTGAGAAAGAAATGAGTTGTAGGACAGAATTTTTCTCCTGCTTTCACTGAAAAGCAGAAAAGTGCTATAGAAACAGCGGTCTTGTCTGACCAGTCTTCGTCAGCTGGCCACGTTTTTACTGACTGCAACAAAGCTCCCAAACAAATACTTGTATTCATTCCATGTGTGTTTTGGGGGTTTTGTTGTTTTGTTTGTGGTGGGTTGTTTTTTAATCCAGTGCCATAATGCCTACAATCAACGCATTCAGATTGCCTATTCAGGAAGTCTGCCCTTGACTGGCTTTAAAGTAACTACCCAGAAACACAGAGTTTATTTGGAAGTCTTTTAGGAAATCATTACTGCTCCTGATGGAGAATCCCAAATATTGTAATTCTAAGGAACAAGAGGCTATTTAGGAGACATTTTTATCCTCTAAAAATAAAGGAATATCCAGTTTTCTACAGGAAAATAAGCCACTGGAAGGAGATCCTCAATTACAGTTATTTTTACTTAAGTACATGCTTAATGTCACTGGGACCAATCTGAGCAAGAATAACCAAATCACACTATTTCCAATACTTAGGCATCAAACTACTGTAAAGCAGAAAACAAAGGTAGCACAAAACATTACTGGTGAGCTAACTTCATGTCAGTTGACTTCATATCATTAGTAGTGTTACTAAAAGTCAAGTCCTGTGCAGCGCTACAGCACCTTCTCTCCAGAGATTTTTAAAGCATTCTCAAGGTAGTGATGATCATAGCTTCAGGCCACTGCTGTCTGACAGAGACATGGAGAGGCAAGAGCTGGTGTTGTAGGTTGTGGTTCCCAAAAACTCACTCTAACCACTAAGCGATACTGCATCCCCAAACTGGGAGAAACGTTTCCCATAGGAAGCATGGAGTTACGGGAGGAGGAGGAAGCAGATCTCAGATCAGGACAAAGAGGTCAAAAAGTTCTTCTCTAGAAAGAATATCTCCAGTTTCACAAGCGCAGCTCTTGATGTTGCAAAAAAAGACCCACTGGAGCCACTGAAATCGCTTATGAAGCCAGGATTGGCTCCCTTTTATGGGGGCTTCCAAAATCAGGCGGGTAAATGTGGAATAAAATCCATCAAAAGACAAGTGAGATGCTGCAGGCAAGGGGAATGTATCCTTTGCAGAAGAAAGAAGTGCTCTGAGTGTGCATTACTCACAGATGATAAAATTTCTGCCACCGATATACTGAGCCAGGGCCTTGGCTGGTGATGGCAGTGTCATTACTCTACAGCATTTCTAATTCTGGTTCCTGTTCCAGGGCTCAAACTTTTTAAACTCCTTTTGTCTGACAGCTAAAATACCGTTAAAATACAGTGCAGTAAACACCTTAGTCTCTTAATCACACCTTAAGAAAATCCCCTGAACTCACTGAATCACTTGTAATTAAGTAACCCCCAGGCAACAGAAGAAAATCCTGTCTATTTTGAGGCATCGTTGAAGAATATGACAGCACCATGTGACTGCAGGTAGGTCAGCCTAGTGTAGCACATTAACAAATCCACATGGTTGCCTTAATCTAAGGCGATTTGTGTAGCCAAGAGAGACACAAATCACTTGGAAACTGCTGACTCTCAGCTTCCAACTTATGCCTCCCTTGTCATCTGTGGATATCTGAGAGAGAGGTGCTATCTCCAAACTGTATTCCCAAAATGCTTTCCAGCTTGGTGCACGTGGGAGTGATCATCAAAGCTGAAAGCACTCCAGCCTGGAAACTACCAGTTAACAAGGAACAGCTAATTCTAGAAAAACTGTGGAGAGAGTAAAAGAAGGTATCTCAACACAGGCACAAGAGAAGTGGATCCAATTTGTACATCTGGCCTAGGGCAGATAATTGTCAAAGTGCAATTTGGAGCTACATCTGTAAAAATCTGGGAGGGAATGAGAAGTGGGTAGGTGACAGAGTAGCATTCAACAGAACCAAGAAGGGCTGATTTTTGATGCCCGAACCTGTCTCAAGCACAAGATGAAGTGTCTGTCTCCTACAACCCTTATGGCTGACCCTTGATGCAGGTGTGTTATTCAGCCTGCTTGGGCACCCAGGTGAATCTCCATCCTCCATCATCATCCCTGCGCACGAAGGCCTGTCCTTGGTGGAAGGTGTGCGTTCTCACATTGCGGTGGGGACTTAGAGATGTTGTGAAGGCCACTTCTGTTTTGTTGGGTGACAAATCAGCAGTCAAATAAGGCAACCCATAGGCTGGGAGGGAGGAAACACTTGGCACTGATGAGGAGGTGCATGGTGCTGAAGAAAACGGAGGAAGGAAGGGAGAGTTCTCACTGCATGGATGGGTACTGCTGTTAGCTGGAGGCATGTGGCTGCAGCTATGCGCTGCCACCGCTCCTTCACTGTGGTCGTAGTCTATTGCTTCACCAGGGCTCAGGCAGTATGTGTCTTTTCCAAGGTCTGAGGACAGGGCACTGTAGTTAGCTGAAGTTTCATCAATGGTGTTGACATCTTTTAATCCTAAAGTCTGCAAGACCCAGCTGTCCACACCAGGGCTGGCTTGCTCTTCACAGGCAGTGAATTCATTAAAGAGGTTCCTTCTAGCTTTGGAAGCATGAAGACTTTCTTGAGGAACAAAGCAGTGGTCCTCTTTTAATCTCCTCTTGGTGCTTTTGAGAATAGCACAGGTTTTTTGGCTGTGGCAGGATAGTAGTTTCTATACATAAAAAAAAAAAGATGTAGGGAAGATTAAAATGTGATTTCTAGTTACCTGGAAGCAACATGTTTCTGGTGTCAGATTTTAGATGGGCAAGATGGTTAGTACTGTCCTTATAAAAGATACTTTTTCTTCCACCCTGTGCTTAAACACATCAATGAGACTAACTATTTCGTGTCTTTACAGTCTCTGCAACAACCCAGTCCCTGAAAGAGAAGAATTTGACAATGTCAATAAGGCCTGTGCTTTGATCACATTCTCACTCAGTATGGCGTAAAATGAGAGCTCCCGCCTGGCTGTGTGGCACTCCTCTGTGCTGTTGCTGCCAGCAGGATTTGGCAGGTGAGGTGGGTATGGGGGGGAACGTGGCAGCCTGACAAAGAGGGAGGATGCAAAGGTAAGTCAGACTTGGGCAGGTGTGATCCTGGCCAGGGAGTGTTCAGAGCAGCAGACTGAGCAGCTTTGAGCTCATTAATGCACCTCAGTCACTGTTATTCCAGGACAAAGACCCTTCAGGCATCCAGGGATGGTCAAAGAAAGGCAGGAATAACAAGGAAGCTCCCCACCATGTCATGAATCCACTGCTCAGCCCCCTCCCATGACAGTTTCACACAGGACCCTCCTCCACAGGACACAGAGGGGCAGCTGTGTCTCCCTACCGTGCCCACTGAAGGAGACCCTTCCTACTGGCAGGAGCCAGGTCTTGGCATGGCAGGGGGGACATGCCCCACCGTCAACTAGGAATAGGATGTAAAAGGAAAGTCTGCTATTTTTTACAGGCTTTTTTACCTTGTGCCTAATCCACAGAGCTGAGCAAATAATTAACAGTTCAGTGTCATTGGCAAGGCTGGAATAGTAAAAATTGTCTTCAAGCTGATGAGAAAATTATCTTGACTTTCTTTTAGATGAGAGACAGAGAATCAAAATATTTAATTAAAAAAAAACCCTTCACACTTAGTTTAAAAGAATGTTTCATCCAACCTGAAGTGTTTAATTTTGTATTTCACCTTTAAGAAAACCCACACAACTATTTAATTAATTTGAAAAAAAAAATAGATTGATGTTCTAGTGTAAATGAATAAAACATACAATTGGAAGGTGACAAAATGAAACATAAAGCAGAAAGTACCCAAAACATAAAAAAGGAAAAATTAATCCTTATCAAAAGGGATAATTGATGACAGAAAAGACACATTCAATAAATGTACGTTCAAATTTGAACTTTTCACTGAAAAAAGCTTTAGATGGAATAATTTTACCTTGCTTATGAACTTAACTTACAGCTAACTTACAAATGAAACTTTATTATGCCATGGGCTGTGCTGTCTCCATGGTCAGACCCACCATCGGCAATTTGGCAGCTCTGTGAAGTTTAATAGATCTCACACTGCAGGTTGTCTACACTCTTAGACTTTCCACATATTTTAATGGCATGTACCTATTCAACCCGTTTCTTCTGCACACATCTATACAACAGGCTTGAACACAATACCTTGGCTTTTTCTTCTAAACACTTAATCAGTGCAGAATTCAGGTATTGTCGGAGGTTATTATTTTCTTCATGTAACCTAGCAAGTTCCTCTTCCTTCTGAAGCAAAGTATCTTGAAGCTGTGGAATAGAGATATTGATGAATAGATGTTGACTCTGTAACTTAATAGTGATTGCCCTATGGTACAGGCTGCTTGGATTTGATGATCTGGGTGTTTGCTTTGTGAACTAAACCCACCCCCTACAGCCTCTTGTCTCTGCAAATCTAAGTGGCACGACTGTTTAGTTTTCACTTTTGACTTCCTTTATTCTTTAGCAAGTGTTTGAGAAGACTATGCTGAAAAAAACTATAACCATGGAATAACAACAGAAAAGAATTACAGGTAACCCTGTGAACAGCCAGAAACAGTCAAGGGCACAAGAGCAGCTGCCAGATCTCCTGAGCAGCAGTAAGCATCCCTTTGCATCCCCCTCATTCTCATTTATAGTTGGCTGATGGGGAAAAGAAGGAGCTGCAGACTAACAATTTATGGGGGTAGAGTGCAGAAGGAAGATGCAGCTGCCATTCTTTATGATACAGTAGTACTCGGTGATCTCTTCAATCATGGACCCCATTGAGCCAGTCCCAGTACATATACAGAGCTAAGTCCTGGTCCCAAGAGCTAAACAGGTATGTTTTGACTTGCAGACATCTAATACTTTTTCATGGGAAGCATGTAATTTGCAGAGAGACTCTTGCCTCCTGATCATAGCTCTGGAGACTCCTTTAGGAAGACAGAGGATTTTCTGCCAAGGAGCCCGGGCATCTGCCAACCGCAGGCTGAAAACCACTGATTTAAATGATTGAAGTAGAGCCAAAGAAAGTAGCACACTGATGTTTGGAACTAGGGTTTGATCCCAGGGACCTTGAAGTTAGTAAATGTTTCCATTGACTTCACTGTGTCAAAACATCACTCCAAGGATTTGATCAGAGCAATCGCTCTGGGATACCTTCATCTAGGACTGCTCAGAGTTTCTCCTGCCCCTTGATGGGATTTACAAAAAAAAAAAAAAAAAGGAAAGAAGAGATAAAGTAACAAGGAAATGCTTGTTGGTCAAAATGGTTGATCCTCCATATAAGTAGGTAATTCTGGTGCAATAATTTCTCATGAAGTCAATCCTGGTCTACTCGGGAGGACACGCGCTATCAACAGCATGAGGCTCTGCATCATCGGAGCTCGAGGGACTCCCTGGCCATGCCCCTGGTCTTCTCTAGCGCCGAGGCAGCCTGCGCCATGGGCTGTAAGGGACCGGGCAACCCCGCAACAGCTCTTCCAGCTTCAGGGGACAACACGGGGGAGACAAATACTTCGAACAAGGAAGAAAAAAAAACCCCTAAACCAAGCGGGTTGCCGCCGTTCCCGGTGCTAGGGCGATGAGCCGTAAACCCGCCCGGGGACGTG